TAAAAAAAAAAAAAAAAAAAAAAAAAAAAAAACCCATCATTTTACTAGTTCATATGAGATGAAAAAGAAAAGCTTACTTAAAATTGCAATTTTCACGAACCAACAATAATGCCTTGAATACCAAGACAGACTTTATTTAAAATAAATGTATATTTCACTGTTAATATATGGAAAAGTACAAATAACTTCAGAGCATACAAGTCGCATCTTAGATTGCGCCTTTATTCATCTGCCGCAATGAATAATAATCATTTCCCATACAAGGATACCAAAATTCCTTGTAAATCCACTTTTTTAAGCTTCATGATTATCCAAGCCTGCCTTCCTCCCTCAATTAGGCAATGAAGTTTCTCTATTTCGGTCGCGTTTAATCTTCAAGAGACCGCTTCTACGGGAGCTACAGACTTGTAAACTCTCTCTTTAGCCTTGTTGGCCTAAAATACAAGAAGAAAAAAATGATTGATTGAGTTAGATTTTGAAGAAACAAATAGCTTCAAAGTAGTGAAAGCGACATAGATATTACTTGTTCCTCCCAGTTGGTGTTTATGCTGATCACAAGAAGGAACAAAGACTGCACGACGAGCGCGCATATTATCCCCAACCAGAGACCCTATTAAGGAAATAAAAAGAAGAAAATGTTCCAGAAAAAGTCTTGATATCGAAATTCAAGTGTATAACATGATAAGAGGCATACGAAGAGAGAACCTTTCCACCAATGTGGAAGACAAAAGCCAATAAAATAGCTGATGGAATTCCCACTATATAGTATGATCCAAGATTCACATATGCTCCGATCTTCTGCCACCCACATCCTCTAGCATTTCCTGATGTACGCAAGGAGGTACCAACATCATATAATTGTGCATATAATTGGTAAATTTTTTGTTCACACCATTACAAATTGTTCATCTTCCTCTAATTTTCCTCATCTTCAAGAGCCTAAAACAAAATGTCTTAAGGTGATTTTTGTCATAAGAAGTAAGCAGAAGGAATAAAAACCTGAAAGAACACACTGCAATCCCTCTAGAAAGTGGGATCCTGCAAGTATAGGCATCATCTTCGCAACGTATTTGACCACTTCTATTTCATTGCTATAAGCATAACCCCAGATATTACGTATCAGTATAAGAACTAATCCCACCAATAATGCCTCTGTGACAGTCATGACTACCGCAACCCACACTGCCAAACGAGCGGCTCCTGGGTGACCTGCTCCTAATTCATTCGAGACCCGAGTGCTGTTAATCATAAACAAAAGGAAAAACAGTAAGATAGCATTTGGTTCGAGAGTTCTAGACCCAGAATCATGATTCTAGTTCAAACCTTTATTTGTTTGCAAAAAGTAAAAAATAGTTTCGGTTCAAGGTTTGAAAACCAGTGTTTGGTTTGAATGGTTTTGATTTAAGGTTTAAACTCTGATGTGATGTTTTAAACCAAAACCACTCATAGTTTTAAAACTATCTCCCCCTTGGTTTTGGGTGGTTCAAATCCCTGATTATGATTCTGGTTTCAAAATCATGATTGGAGTCAAAACCATAAATCATGGTTCCAATTCCAAAATTAAAATCAGAATTACTCTAGTTTTAACCCTCATACCTACGGAGCCTAAGTTAAGATGATCCATTTAAAACTTCTGTCTCTAAACCCTTATCAATGGTATCAAAATAAAACCTTTAGATATGCGCAAAAATAATAATAATAATAATAATAATAATAATAATAATAATAATAA